TTTAAATTGGAGAAATGTGACGGGCTGTTACGAGCCCGTCACATTTCTCCAATTTAAAGCGTAAGGACGACAGAACAGCATGCTGCCATCATGCCGACATCATATTACACATGATGGGGGATTCACACCAAAACAAAAGCAAAAGTGGCCTCTTCTGAAACAGTTTATTGTTCTATCTGAGGCCATTTGCTCTTTTATAATGACCCGCTATGGATCACAGCATACTCTTCTATTTCCCAGCTCACCATGAGGGAACATGGTCAGGCTGAAACACTGCTTCATTATTGATGGGAAGCAGCAGCGGGGGGGCACAGGAGAAAGATCAAAGCACTTCATTCCCTGCGTTCACCTTAGCGTTGTTGCATCATCGGAGCTCGCAGACGCAGTAGCTTAACTCTGCGGATAGAACGGCTTATTCTGTTTTCAAAGTGCACCGAAGGAGCCTCCTCAGCATGCCAATGGCCTTGTTTGTAATCCATTCCAAACGCGTTGCTTGTTAGTCACTAAGAGGACCTTTATGCAAAGAGACAAGGGGGGAAGGAAGTGGCAGGCCCTAACAAAAGATGCTCACTTGGCCGAGAGAGGGGCTGATCGATAGAGCCTTGAGAGAGCTATCAATCAGAGCCCCGGCCCAGTAAATTATGGTTTTATTAGTATTGAGCTGACCACTGCTGGGAGAGACCTTAAAACATTGAGATGCTGGCCCACATCGGAGGCTAGAGAAGGAGAGGGAAATCGGTGTTGACCCCCCCCCCCCCCAACTTAATACGCACTGATTGAATTCCACTCAGATCATGACTTGTATGTACCACAGCTTCCCCGCTGTCATGGCAAATAGCAGTGATTCATGGAAAGCGGACGGAGCGAGGGCACAAAGCGGTGCACTCTGGGAAGTGCAGTTTGCAATGAAGGGGTGACTAAATTGAGGGAAGTAGATCGCAGAGGAGCAGAAATGCAATTCTGGCGCTGCTGGGCCCTCATTCCCAGCCGGCTCACTGAGGACTAACTCATTTAGGAACAGCAGGGGGAACTCAATAGGGCCAATTGAGAAAATAATATATTGAATCTGGTGGTTGAGTGGGCTGCTTGGGCAAGGTGGAGGACTGCGGAGGGGAAGTGTGTGCTAAAACCCAGGTGTTTTTAAGCAACATATACACGTGTATGTGAATACACACGCGTGCACACACACACTCACACACACACACACACACACACACACACAGATCCCTTTCACTTTGCAGCATAGCACATATGGTGTTCACCTGTTAGCTGTTACTATTGCACTATACTTGAACATGGTCGGTCCACCAGTTTGGTCCTGCCTGGCATATCTCAATAAATATTGCATGGATCACTATGGAAGAGATACGACATAGTAGCCAGTCTCTGTATCGCTGTGGGTGTGTTGCATTGTAACTGACATACTCTGCTTATTTCTGACGCAACTGCAGTACTGTGCAACAGAAAGAAGTGTCCTTCTTTCTGTTGCCCAGTACAGAATAGTGCTGTTTTCTGTCTTTTTTTAAACGCAGTATGAATTGTTTGAACTGTATACTCAATGGCTCCTGGGACAGATTCGCATTGCGGTCTTGTATCAGTGCTGGAGGCGGTCCTCACTCCATTAGTGCAGCAGACTAGTGAACAACTCTGAGCTTCCGTTTCTGCGGGAATCAAAGCGAGCGTGATTGTCTCTCGCCCGGTTGTTGCACGCATTGTGTTGGAGGACTTTTGCGTAAAGTTGAGCTCTTCTCAACTTCCCCCTGTAGTGCCACTGGCCGCTGTTTCAAATCTCTGTAGCAAGACATTTGGTATGTCTTTAGTTGGAGAATCAGCTGTGGTAGAACAGTTATTCTCACATACCCCGCTATTGTGCTGATTCCCCATGTGCATGATGTGTTTTTGTGAAATTGAGGTTTTACTAAGAACTCCTAAAAGGACCTGGGCACCCACTTTGGGAAGCACTGGCATTAGATGAGGCTCTAAGGTGGATGTGAGAAGCTAATGAAAGTAGGGTATCTAGCCAGCAGCGAGGCGAGTTGTGCCTGGGGCAGGATGCAGCAGCTTAAGGATTGTAATTACAGCATTATGGGGGAGGTTGACTGGATTAGGGCCACAGCAACAGGCTGAGACCAGGATAGAAGGCCAGGAAATAGCCATGGATGAGACATTATTAGCTTTAGTTGACAGCTTAAGACTAGCCCCGTCAACACACTGCTTCTTCTCCCTCACTGACTACTCAAGGTCAGGCAGATGCTGATGCACAGGCAAAAACACATTTTGTGCACGACTCTGCACTTACCACAAACACATATGCACATGAATACAGGTAAGCGCGCGCACACACACACGCGCGCGCACGCTCCCGCTCCATTCACACAAATATCAACATCACCTTGAGCGCACAAACACACAGGCTTTGCTTGGTGAGTCCAGCGGGAGCTGAGCAGCAGATGCTCTGCCCTCTCCCTCAGTCAACAGGATAATCCACTCTGAAAGCGGCTAGATTAAGACAGATTAAACTCACGATGAGGTGATGAGAACCGCTGGATAAGAAAGGAATATTATCTCAACAGAGACACTGACAAACTTAAAGGAACGCGCTCTCTTTTGGACTAGATGTTGCTGTTCTTTTTAGATTTAAACCTTGTGATACCACAAAGCATTTTCATTTTTTGTCTTATGAGGCAAATGGCGATGATTGATGCTCATATTTATATTTTCCAGTCAATCCTCAATAAGATGTAATGCGTTTGTTTCTGCATGGGCATCAAAAGCTATTTCCTGGGAAAAGACCCAGATGTTGAATCACTGCTGCGATATCAAATACCAGGTGATGGCAGATTTGACATGGAAATGTCACTGCTCGTCATGCACTAGTCAGGAAACATTCACAGGTCAGTAAACATGCACAAAGCATTAGCATGCACAGAGGCAGACTTAATTAATACTGGGTACACAGAGATTAAGCAGCTGCCATTTTGCCTCTGTGTTAAGTTGATTCCAAAGTCTATTTGCAGTAGAAGCCAATGAATACCTCTGATAGGAGCCCGCTCAGCGCTCAGAGACAGAGGGAGACAGTTACACAGTGGTGCGTCTGAGATCTCTTCCTCTTGACACATTCTATACATAATTTTCATATCATTTAGTCCTCAGCTGCTCGCTCTCTGTTCCACTCCGTCCACGCATTCTCCTACCTCTCACCTGAGACACTCCATCTTACTTCTTTTCGGCTCGTGACGGATCCGACAGCAGATTAAAAAGTGCGGAGAGAGGTTGAGTAAAAGAGCGAGAGAAGGGGGTCAAATACATCTTTATTTTCATCAATTTCAGCCTCATTGAGACTGAATCATCCGGGGACACGCTTTTTATTATAAGGCTGCCAGTGGCCATGCCTCTGATTGTAATTGTGTTGACCCAGCCCCCCATTTCACACACACACACACACACACACACACACACACACACACACACATTCACACATTTTTCCCTCCTCGCACCTCCTTCTTATCAACACGGTGTCCCGATAAAGTCCGGCGCTCTCAACCTCATTAAACCTCTCATTTATATTAAACAGCCGATAAGTCCCTCCACCCTGCTCTGCATCTCCCAAGGTATGCTACTCCCACGAGGAGGCGACTCGGCAGCACGCACACTGCACTTTCCTCCCCCC